ATATATATATATATATATATAATTGTGGATGACTTCAAACAACATGAGGCAGCTTATGGTGGATGCTCATCCTCAACATTAATTCAGCAATGTCTGCAACAACTTGGAGATTTGTGCATTAGAGTCCTTAAAAGAGAGCACCACAAAGAAGTTTGAAGCTGTCTAAGTGCAGATTAAGATTTTAAAAGCTTTGATTTTTATTGTAATTGCTATGATTATTCCTTTTTATAAGGATGGTTACATATCTAATAATCTTGTTATGAATTTTTTTTTTTGAGATTTTAAGTTACTAAACTACCACCCTGCATCCATTTTTTTTTGGGGATAAGTGTGCATTTTTGGTTGTAGTCTTTGCTTCCTTGACATTTTTTATGGTGCTCCATATTATCTCCATTTTCCAAGTTAAAGTGAAATGAGATTTAAAAGCAGACTTTACATGCAAATCACTTGAGACTTATAGTTCTTCCCAACTAACACTTCAAGTCCGCCAGAGACATACATCTAGTCATCCCTCTCCTATAGACCTCTGACAAAAGACCTAACAACGAAGGCTCAAAACATTTCAAATAGACAAGACCAAATGTGTGCATGAGGGCAGTTAGATGCCTGCTGGGAAAGTTAATATTCATATAGTTCTTTATACATATTAAAATTGTTGAATGTATAATTAATCATACAAGGCATTCATTTTGGGCAAACATGATTTTGGATGTTGTTTGATTTCTAAAGCTCTTCAATGTTCTGTATATTGATGGCAAATGAAGATCTAATTTCGAAGTCCTTGACTTGTTTAAATGCATGGGTAATTGAATATTGAAGGAGTAATTGTCCCTGTTCATGTTTCTGCAGGTTTATCTGCTTTTAAAAAGTGAATACATCTTTTCATGCGTAGGAAAAGCGCTATATGTCATATATGTAAAGAATGAACATTCAAAGTTATTTCTCAGTTCATTCCTTATTTATAATGACGCATGGTTGCTTGAGCTCATTCCATGGTTTTGTTCCTGTTAATTAGTTCGTCTGATGATGCAGGGAGTTCATTCGCCTGATACAAGAAGTTCGCATGTCTCAATTGTGTCAAAGCCAATGATTTCCCGTGTTGTCCGAGGAAGTTTGGCGCTATAACATGAGTTCGTTCGCTCGGTAGCGAAGAGTCTGCCTAAAGTGAAGTGTGAATCATCTCAGCAGTGAGTCTCATCAGATACCTCGCATAGAGAGTAACAAGATCCGCCCAAGTCATTGTGAGATAGAGAGATTCGGCCAATGTGATGAACCTACCAGACACGCGAGACACAAGTCCTCTAAGACTCGAGTTGAAGGGTAAGTGGGTCTTGGCTCACCCGACCATAGTTGGCTGATCGCGACTCGAGGCGAGCCAGACCGTCATACAATCGAGGCCTCGACCAACCAACACACATGTTAGAAGACACAGTCGTCAGTCGACCGACCGCCTTAATCAGCCGAATTCAGACAAGTCGACCCGCCGATTACCATTATGTTATCAAATTATAATACAAATTCGATGTAAAATCTATATAATTAATTAAAGAATA